CTGAGTAAGAGCAGGTCCCAGTTAATTCTTTCAACTGTTGTGAGCCGATTTCTTGATGATTGCTGTTCTTTCTTAATTTGCCTCTCTCTCTAAGGTACAGGATGAAGCTTTACTATTAATTAATGTGCTTATCATCTCTCATGGCCAGGGCTGTTGGATATTTTTAATGTTTGTTAGCCATTTGCACTTCGTCTGAGAACCGTCTATTTCACTTAATTTTTAATTGGGTGGTCTCATCTTCTGAGCTCTTCCTATGTTCTAGATAGTAGTCTTGTGTCTGAGTAATGGCCGGCAACCTCTTCCCCGTTCTGCAGGTCATCTCGTCACTCTACTGACGTTTCCCTTGCTGTGCAGAAGGCAGATTGTCTGTCGCTGTCACAGATGTCTTACTGTGAACATTCACCACACAGTTCATCACTCCTTGTGACTTTATCACAGAGGAAAGAAACAGAAATCACTAGCTCATCTGTGGATTTGGGTTTGTGTGAGGTTAAGGTTTTGGAGCAGTTGAGCAGATGCGGGGATTGGATGGAGGGGGTGGGTTTCAAGTATTGGTGGGAGGGTGGGGGAGGGAATATCCCGCTCTGGGGCTTCTCTGGGCCACAGCTGAGGGCAGCAGCCTGCATAGTCCCTACAGAACAGACGCACTCTGCCAGGTGTGCACTCTGCATGGGCACACTGGACGGTCAGCCAGGCCGCCTTCTTCCTCTGCAAGAAGCGAGGCCAGGATGCAAAGTGATGGTGAGTGATCCACACCCATGCAAGAGGAGGCAGAGGGCAGCCAGAAGCAGGGAGGAGCTGTCCTCAGCCTCCCTCTAGAGAGCAGGTAGCCTGAGCAGAGCGAGGGGCCATGCCTGATGGTCCCAGGGTGCTCAGTGTCACAGCCACAGTCACAGGCAGCCTCAGCTGGTTTGAGACCTTCAGAATAGTCTCCTTTTGTGTGAGCCTGTGATGAGGCGTGAGGCCTGGGCCTCTGTCCGGTCGGGGTGGTGACTGGCCCTGCAAGAGTCAACCCCTGTCAAGGTAGTAGAGGGAGACACGGGTGAGACACTGGCTTTTGGAGCAGGAGATCCTGGTGCCTTGAGAGAAGCACTACCTTCCTCCTGCTTCCGCAGGGTTGGCGCAGCAGCCAAGAGTGTGGTGTTCAGGACGAGAGCGTGGCCTTAAGTCAGGAGATGCTTGGCATGTACAGGAGCGTGGTTCTTATTACTTCGGCAATTAGAACTCTCATTGATTGCCACACCTGCTGTGTGAACCATGGGAAGACAGTGGAGGATTCTAGGGCATCAAGGGGCATGTACCTCAACCAGGCCCAGGGTCAGCCTGCCGTTGGGGGCACATTGGCAGGTAGACAGACGGGACTCCCCTGCCTCACTCAGACTCCTCAAGGAAGTGAAGGGAGCGGTGTCAGTGACCTTCAGCTTCACACACTCCGTCCCACTAGTCCTTCAAGCAAGCCTACAAGTGGCGTGTTATCCCAGTCCGACAGATCAGGAAACAGCCCAGCAAGGTGACTTGACCAGAGCCGTGCCACAGCTCGTGGCAAAGTCCTTGCTGCCTGGGTCCTAGCTCAGCATCTGTCCCCGCTTCCCCACCCCCAGCCAGAGTTGAGCCGTGGCCACAGTCAGCGAGCGAGTCAGGGAGCCTGGCCTCGGGCGCTGGGCTTGGTTGGCCTCAGTATTCTTTTCGAAGTTTGCAGGCGTTTGCTTAGAGCGGCACATTGGATGGTTTCTTTTTTTCTCAGAGTGTCTGTCTGTCAGCAGAAGCACGGCCCGGGGCATGAGGCAGGCAGCCCTGAGATGCTCTCTGCGCCCCCTCTGCACTCAGGCACGGGTCCCAGCAGTGGCTGGAGTCCCAGGCCAGATGGCAGCGAGCTCCTGAGCACAGCCCTTCCCGACTGGCATGCAGGGGAATGGCGTTCTTTACAAGGCTCCCCCAGCCCGAAGTGGCTGCTGAGGAGGCCCAGAATGGGCATCTCCCTAAGATAGTCTGGATTCTTCTTCATGCCCAGGCCTGGGGCCTGTAAGCTTGGGTGGAAAGGACATTCTTCCCTGAAACCTCAGATTTTGCATAAGACATTACATAGAACCCAAAGTGTCAGACCGGCCACAAGGGAGCCGCCCTGGCTGGGGCAGCATGGCCCCGGCTCTCACCTCCTGCACGGAGCCATCTGGGCCCGAGAGGGCCTTTCCTCCTGCAGCAGGCCCGCCTTGTCTCAGCCTTCTGCCCCTAAAGGCTGACAACCCGCCCTGTGCTCTGTGGCAGGGCCACATTGCTCCTGATGCAGATTTTAAAGCCCTCTCCCTGGTGTCAGGGCTCGTGCGGGTTGATTCCAACTTGCCTGTCTTGCCTGGCTGTTCTCTGCCCAGGACCCAGTGCTCTGCCCTCCGCACCACCTTTCTGCTTTTGCCTCCTCTCCCTCTCCTTCCCTCTTCCTAGTTTATCCAGAGTTAGCCCCCCTGGCAAGCTTTTCTTGAGAAGCCCTCCCTGCCTTCACCAACTTGCCATGGTCTCTCCGCCCAAAGCCCCACAGCGCGTGCCTGGCAGAGAAGCACCTGATTCCTAGGTGATGTCAGCCACTTCCCTGATGATGTGTGTCAGCCTAGAGCCCTCATCTCGTTAACTAAAAAGGAGGAAGGATAAGCAGCTGTTGTCTCTTCCAGCAGCATCTAAATAACTTACTTTAATCTATTAAAATGTTAGCGTCTTGACATATTCCTGGGTTATGGGAGCTTTCCTCATGGTGAGGCAAGTCCATGTCCCATTGGGAGTTGATTGCTCGGGGCTAGCCAGCGCGGCAGAGAGCCCTTAGGCTGAGGTTGGGTTGGGATCGGTAGATCAAGCCTCCTGCAGACCTTTCTTTTCTGGAGATTCTCCTTGAACATGTACACATCTCTGTAGCTTGAGAAGATCCTGTCAAGATGAATGAGGCAATAACCATGTGGCCCGGGCCTGTCTTTCAGGGATTTGAAACTGGACAACATCCTCCTAGATGCAGAAGGCCACTGCAAGCTGGCGGACTTTGGGATGTGTAAGGAGGGCATTCTGAATGGCGTGACGACCACCACGTTCTGTGGCACTCCTGACTACATAGCTCCCGAGGTAAGAACCACACGCGGAGGTCCGCCTCGCCCTGGTGCCGGGACTGAGGCAGGGGGCCATCCTGCACACTGTGGTCATCCAGTGGCGCTTACTGCAGGCTCTGGAAGACCAGGGTGGATTCTAGGATGTGGAAACAGGAAGGTGAAAGGCTTGCTCGTTTTCCATAAGGATATGGTAGTGATGAAAGATGGTGAACTGAAAGTGATAGGTATCACCCACATCTGGACAGATGGAACAGCACTTCCATCCTCGCCAGAACCACCAGTGCACCTAGGACTGGGAGCAGTGTGTTGGCTTGTATCCCTGCTTTCACTTCTTAATGATCCAAATAAAGAAAGAGCATTGAACATGGCATCCATTAGCTTTCTCGGCCTTCATGAGGAATCCTTTGCCATGTCCAGCTTGGAGGCTCTTCTCCATAGTGGACGTGCAGGGTGGAACAAGAGGAGGGCTTTATAAACAGAGCACAGATGTTCATATTTATCCTCACTGTTGAGCTACCTGGTGTGAAAGCTGTTTGGTTATGTTGTTCATCACGAAGTGTTTTCTTTGAGACCCTGAAAGTCAGTCTTGCCCAAGTCAGGAGATACCTACTATGGGTCACTCACAGCCCTGCTTCTTTGTACCAGTTTAATCCAAGTGATCTTCATGGGTGTAGGAGCAGAAGGAAGTGCCAGGCCTGTTAAGCACTGTCCATGGTGGAAAGTGTTAGCACATTCAGACTTCCTTTCTTCTAATGGGCGTTGTTTGAGCACCTGCTAGACACAAACCAATATAGGTCCCCATCTCAAGGATTGTTTGGTTTAGAAGAAGTAACTGATACAGGAACAAGTAATTAAGCATAATAATATAATAAACAAGATGGTATCATCAGGGATCAAGAAAGGCTTCTTGAAACACCTGGAGGATGAGTTAGGTGTAAAGAGTAAAGATTTCCTTTGGCCTAAAGGGGGCAAAGATGAGAAGTGGAACAGAGCTAGGGTAGGGAGGAAGTTCAGTATCCCAGGGCTCTGAATATTTCTGAGACCAAGTCTGTGTTTCTGATCTGGGTACTCCTGGGACCCAACTTGCAGGTCTGGGTCTTAGTAATGATTTGTTGAATGGATGGATCAATGAATGGATGGATGGGTAGGTGGGTGGGTGGATGGATGAATGGATGGATGGATGGGTCAGTGGATGGGTGGATGGATGGATGGATCGATGGATGGATGGATCGATGGATGGATGGATCGATGGATGGATGGATCAACGGATGGGTGGATGGATGGATGGATGGATGGATGGATGGATGGATGGATGACTCGATGGATATATGGATGGATGGATGGATGGATGGATGGATGGATGGATGGATGGATGGATGGATGAATGGATCAATGAGAACTTGTGACATTTTTAACATAACCAGAACCAAGGGGTGAAACTGGCCTTTTCTGGGAAGGTAAGTAGCATAGTATAAACAGGGTTTCATAGTGCTTATAGTAATGAATGAGATTAGACTAAAGGACCCAGGAAAGTAGCCTTTCTGTGGGATCTTTGGCCCAGTCAGCGTTCCCTCAGAGGAGGGTCCTCATCAGATATGTCCCAGGAAAAAGGCAGGCCACAAAAGTGCAGATGAAGCAGAGAGCAAGGGGCAGATGACTGAGGGTCTTCACAGACCTGGAAACACATTGGGGCCCTAAACAGGTCTCAAGTGCATCATAGGGATGGCGAATTGTAGTGGGTAAATTTTCTTCAGAACTTTTGTCTTGTAAGGGATCTGAAAGGTGGCCGCTTCCCTGGTAACTTGTTCCCCTAGTGGAAGTACCACAAATTCACTCTTTAAGGGAAATAAGTGAAAGTGAGGCCATTCCACTTGCTCACTTTTCTCATCTGCCTCGTGTTTTCTGTCAGGAGAACTGCCCCATTCTTGTCCCTGTGTGAGTTGATCCCTGGGTCAGTGTTGACAGCCTGGGGCAGTAGTTTAGATCTTGGCCAAGACAGATGTTCACTTTACAATGAACCACACACCCACTGGCTTCCACACAAGGAGGCCCTGAGGTCTGTTTACAGGGTGGCCCGGGACTCTTCCTTCCTGCTCTGTCGTTCCCGCCCATGTGCAGAATCGCTAGGACACCAGGAGTGGCAAACCATCTCTGGTCTTGTGACAGGCAAGGAACAGCTGATACAGCAAGGCATTGCCACCCTTATCAAGGACTAGAGGGAAAATTGACATGAAATGTGGCCTCTACCGTGCCTAGCCCAGTGCTTGGCCCTCAGTGAACACTGGCTGGGTCACTGTCCTTGCCGTTGGTTGTATAGTAGGGCATGAAGAACAGTCTTGAGAAGGACAGACTGGACCAGAATGCCCCCATGTGCCCTTGGTGAGGTCATGAGGCATTTTTGAGCCTCAGCCTCATCCTCTTCCTGATTGGAAACACGGTGCCTGCCTTTCCCATCTGGGTAAGCTGTGCTGAGAACCTAATGCGATTACCCGTGGGAATGCTGCAAGAGCCATAAGCCTCTGTTCAAACAGGAGAGGCCGACCCTGAAACCAGAGCCACTTGCTGCAGTACCAGCTCTGCCCAGGGATTCTCTTCCCACCTGTACCCCTGGCTGAACTCTGATGCCCCTCCCTGTTCTCCATGTGGGGCCCTGCTCGCTGGGAAGTGGCTGCCAGCGCCGGCCACACCTGGCGTCACCAGGCCCCAACACCTGCTCCCATCGCCTGCCCCAGCTCTGCCCCATCAAGGCGTTGGTTGCCATGCCAGGGGCCCTGCACAGCATGCGAAGCCTTGCCCCTTTCACCATCTCCATTGCTGACAAAGCAAATAGGAAGCAACGAATGAGGGCCAAGCCTAAAAGGAATTTTACAGAAGATGTTACCTAAAGCAGCTGGGCTATCGAAGGGGCCCCGGGAAGGGTGGAGGGGGCCACCCTGTGGTTTCCATAGCACACCCAGCCTGAGCCAAGACAGGCCTCCTGCAGGTGGTCTCATCACACCAGCACCCCAGGCATCCTGACTTCCTGAGGCTAGAGGGTGGCCCTTAGTACCTGGCACGCCCTGCGCCCAGGGATAGTGAGAACATCCAGGAAGATATGCACTGTGATACAAGAATGCTGGCTCTCTCCAGTGTCTGTGATGGATTGGGCACAGTGGTAGGCCCAGAAGCGTGCTGGAGCCCTTACTCTTTGGGACGTTAGTGACGCCCCTGGGACACAGCTGGGCATGAAAAAAGTAAGATTCAGTAATGTATGTGATGTGCCTGCAAACTTTGGGACCGGCAGGGTCTGAGGGTATCAGGAGAAAGAGCTGTACTACTTGGGGAGGCTTTCTGAGGGAGACAGGGTGTGACCATGACCTTAAAGGACAGAAACTGGTGGTGCCAGGAAGCCATGAGGAGCCATCGGAGCTGCTGGATCTTTTAAGATGGGGAGGAACCCCATTTGGCTTTTGAACAGAGCAGATTTTCTGGCTCTGTAGGATGGGGGATCCCACGTCTCAGGCATGGCACCCTACCCACCGGGCCAAGGGCCCAAAAGTGTGAAGCAAGTGGGGTGCCAGCCCCTGACGACACAGAGCCTACTTTCTCAACTCCAGGATGAGAAGTTTCCTAAGCCATGCCTGTTTGTTAAACTTGGGCCTTGAGTCTTCCTCTTTAGTCCCAAGCGTTCCAGGATTACTCTAGAAGGACATTTAGTAGTAGTCATGTATACATTTAATCTAAGTGACTTTGAGTCTATCTATACATTTGGCCAGAGGAAAAAAGAGCGACAGAGCATTAGTAAGACCAGCAACCATGTCAAAGACCAAACACACCAGTCAGTCAAGGAGATAATGTGATTCTGGCTATGAGAGTAGAGAAAACACTCACGTGTGAGGTTGGCCTGGAAGAAGCGGCGCTCTGGGGCCTTTAAAAGGCAGGTAAATGTGAGGCTGGGGACTGTCTCAGGGCACCCATTCTGGGGCTGCACAGGAGCACGGTGGTCGTTGGTGGGTGCAACACAAGGAGCGGGGGAGACTTTTCTGTAATTTCCTTCCCAGGAGCACAGGGCTGGGGTCAATTTAACTTTGACACCATTGAAGGAAGACTATGGCTCTGGCCACCTCTGCATGCTGGCTACCTGTAAGGTGGGAGGCTGTGTCTCTCTCAGACTGCTTCCTCCCTTAACCCTGATTCTAGTGTCAGAATGTGTGGTTTTAGGTCCAGGGAGATGGCTCAGTGGCACAGTGCCTGCCTGGCAAGTGCAAGGTCCTGAGCTCCATCCCGGTACCAAAAAAAAAAAAAAAAAAAAAAAAAAAAAAAAATTGCCTCTAAATCCAAGTCAGAGACCTCATCTGGTACGCAAGGGAAGGTGTTTCCCCCATACTAGATTTTTACTCTGGATAGTTGGCGTCCAACGAAGTCTCCAACCTCACTTCTCACTGAATGTGCTGGTTTTAACTTTGAGGAACACTGGGCTCTGCTCCCTGGAGGAGCAAGTTGGACATGAAGGTGCAGCATTCGCGGCAGGGATCTGGCTGGGGACCCGTCTTGGGCAGCCCCTGATGCTGCCTGTTTCCTGAACAGATCCTGCAGGAGCTGGAGTATGGCCCCTCCGTGGACTGGTGGGCCCTCGGGGTGCTGATGTACGAGATGATGGCTGGGCAGCCCCCCTTTGAGGCCGACAACGAGGACGACCTGTTTGAATCCATCCTCCACGACGATGTGCTCTACCCTGTCTGGCTCAGCAAGGAGGCTGTCAGCATCCTGAAGGCTGTGAGTCACTGCCCTTGTCTGGGGCTTTGTTCCCTGGAACACACGCACACACGCACGCACACCTTCCTCTGCCTCTCTCCCGACTCTCCTTACTGTGGAGTTCAGGCTGGGCTCAAACGTACTGCTCAGAGTGAGGCCTGGGACAATTGCTCTTCTTGGGGAAAGGGACTGCGTGTGTGCTCCCTGCAACAATGTCTCCCACCTCTCAGAGGCAAATCCAACCCGTGTGTCACCCCCTTTGCCCTTACACTCCAGTGGGATCCTCCTTCTGTGCCACATGGGGCCTGTCTGCAGTGGGGAAGAGTAGAAGGAAGATGGCAGGGACATTTCCCATCTGAGTCCATGACAGCGTCACAGGAAAGGTGTCCACTCCGGATCCATGGCCCCCAGTATTTAGCTGTTTATGTGTGCACCTTTCAGAGAAGCTGTGTCACTGTCACAGATGATAGGTCGTCCTATGAGAGCGTTCAGAAATCTTCACATTGTTGTACTTTCTGTCTCTTTTGCACCATCTGTTTGTTGTTTGACCTCAGCCTCACCCAGCCTGCCCAGGCTGCCAGGACCCGGCTCTGGAAGCCGCCAGCGCTGTTCCCAGGCTCCACTGCACCTCCCTGCCTCGTGGCCCATTGGCACCGCGGCGGCCTGCTCTGGCAGTTATGACGGGGCTTCTGTGTCCCCTTTGCTGTGGCCCTTCCATGTGGATGCTTTCAAGCACTGGCTCTGTAGCACACTCACAGTGAGGTTCATTCAGGAAAGTTCCTTGAAAGCGCAGAGCCTGCCCCTGCCTGGGCCCCTCGCTCTGCTGCATTTACCCATGACGGCTGTGCCTCCTCTGACACCCTGGGTGCGCTATGTTATGTTTACCGCCTGTTTCCTTGCACAAGGAAGTTAGCTCCTGAGGGCAGGAACGGGGTCAGCTCGCTCCACAGAGGAACCCCGCGGCCGAGAGCCCAGCGTGCGCAGGGTGCTCAGCACTGGTGGAAGCCTGGAAGGCGGGCTCCCTGCGAGAGCTCCCCGGTGCTGAGCACTTCTCACTGCAGATGCGGTTGAAGGCCCCCAGGGGCCAAGCGGTGATGGGGCAGGCAACCCAAACGCGGGGGCAGAGTTCAGGGCAGCCCGTGCGTATCTCAGGGTATCCACTCCTCCGGTACAGCCACCTGCTACTCTGTAGCAGTGCAGATGTCACCTCAGTCCTGGCTTTCTTTAGCCTGAAACCTAGGCCTGTATTCAAAACTTCCTATACGGCAAATGATTATGACTCATTTAATCAGAAGGACCAGGGGAGCAAAGAGGCCTCAGGAGCACCTTGGGAGCCAGTCTTCAACCCCTGCTTGCTAGCGTCACCCTTTAGCACCTGTCTGGTCCCTAGGTGGACACATTCCAGCCACTGCCACCTCCTCCCCAGGACGAGCCCTGAGCCCTCCACCTCCACCCTGGCCCCACCCCCATTCTCTCTGCAGCCTGACGCTCCCTCCTTCTCTGGGACATGCCCTGCCCAGTGCCAGTCAGCCCTGCAGCTTAGGGGTGTGTGTCATCCCCGGACCCCCACACTCATCGCAGCCCAAGCTGACGTCATACTCATCACCCTTAATCTGCTCTACAGCTCCCAAGTCACTTCCATGCTCCTAGGCTCAGTGACTGTCCCCACGCGCCCCCCTGGCCTGCACAGGAGGATGTGTGCACACCATGACCTCGTCCTCTCCCTCCACATTTAGTCCATTAGAATCCATGCCCCTCCAAAAATGTTCCCTTCTGATTACTGTTCTCCATCTTCCTGTCATTCCCCCCCATGAGCCACTCCCTGGTCCCTTGGGGAACCCTGGGCCTCCTTGTCACCTTTGCACTTAGCATCCCCTGCCTCATGCCCTTTTAAAAACTAGGCACAACTGCACACTGTGGTCAGAGAAAGACTGGAATTTCAGTGTGGTCCCAGGTCCCACATGGGCCCCATCCACCACTTAGTGTCCCCTCAGTGGTGGGCGAGCCACACTCGCCCATGCATGAGTTCTTGGACCTCTGTGGCCTGGCCTGCCCTGGCTACTCTCTGCCTGCCCTCTGCCTGGATGAGTCGCTTCCCCATCCCTGGGACAAAACACCTAATACCTGACATAGACCACTACAAAGTGGCTCTGAGCAGGATTTGGAATTCATCAATCGGCTTTCCGTGTTTGTTTATGAGTCTGTCCCAGGCCTAGGGGACCTGCTTGGAGAATGGTGGCCACTGTGCTAGAAACGAACCTCTGTGCCACCAGTCCTAGTGGAGGCCTGTGTTGGTCTGTGATACTGTGACCCCTCAGAGGACAAGACAAAGCTGCAGTTGAGGACACATGGCTCCGGTTCCATTCCTGTAAGATAAAGGCTGCAGCTGCAGCCATTTGGCTGCTGCTCTAAATGTCAGCCTAGACCGGCTCTCTTAATTAGCGAAAGTTACTGCCTTTGTGCTAGCTTCTTTCGTGGGCTTTTGTACCCTTTACGTTCTGCACCCCAGACCCATGGAAACCTTATAAATACTTTGATTTGGAGAACTCCTGGTCTTTACTCCTCAAGAGTTCTGACCTTCCCAAATCCCCCAGAACTTGTCTCTTTCTTTAAGGCTTCACCATAACCCATTTTAGGAGGGTAGGGGCGAGGCCAAGTCCCTGGTAAACGCCTGCTACATAAAGGAGGAGAGGCTTGTTTTTGGCTCCCAGTGTCCATGGGTCAAGCCCACAGCTATGAGTTGAGATCATCTGCACTTTCTAAGGCAGAACGGGCATGGTGGAAGAACCAGGCTGAGAACCCCTGCCCAGCCCACAGCAGCCAGGGAACAAGAAGAGTGGAACCAGGCCAAGAATGAGCCCTTCCGGTCAGGCCCCAGTGACCCACTTCCAGCCACCGACCTCCTGGCAGCACCTGCGGCTGTGCACCCATCCATGTAATAACCAAGTGATGTTTACAGCACCCATGACCCAGTCACCTTCCAAAAGCCCCGCCTCTGAATGCATGGGGGGCATTTTAGACCTAAACCATAACCCATGCCAATCTCAGTGAATTGTTTGGGGGAATTATTGGTGCTTTCTCCACCTCCCTTAGTCTTCGGTGTGTTCTAGGAGGCCGAAGAGCGTCTCTCCTGCCTCCTACCCCTCATCACAGAGAGCAGTGCAGACCTGAGACTGACACAATCCTTGGAGGGCAGGTGCGCTGGGCTCCCAGTATCCAAAAAGGGCCCTGCAGCCTAACGCTGTCCAACTCCTCCAGGTTGGCTTTCCTCCAGGAAAGCTGAGTCTTGGCTGAGGAGGATGCCCCACACCATCCAGCAGGGAGGAACCTGCCATAGGACTAGTCTCCCAACTTCTCACCCTGAATGCTCTTCTCCTAGTTGATATACTAAGATTTTACTTACTTCATTACTTTCTTGCTTATTTGAATAGGTGATATACTCACTTGTTTGTTTGTTTTGAAACAGGATCTCGCTATGTAGTTCTGGCTAAGCTTGAACTTGGTATGTGGCGCACGCTGGCCTCAAACTCATGGTGACCATCCTGCCTCAGGATTCCGTAGCTGTGTTTCTACACCTAGTCACATGGTCTTTAAAAGAGGAAAAACTTCAAAAACAGATATATCAAAAAGTTTTCCATCCTGTCTGCAACAGTTTGTGTCTAGTTGTCCTTCCAAAGTCTCTTACCGTCATAGAATGGCTTCTGGAGTTTGATTGATTACTGTGGGTGTGGATGCTGCACCTGCCCTGGGGCAGGTAATTTGCAACACAGTGTAAGGAGAGGAGAGGGGCTAGCTAGCTCCCTGAGCAGCTGCCACTCCCTTTGCTCTCTGCTCTTTGCTGCCGACTTGAAAGTTTGCTCTCTGCCATGTGCAGCTCTGCCTTGGAGCCAGCTGAGTATGGACTGAAACCTCCACTAACTGTGAGCTAAATAAACCTTTCCTTCCTTCATTTTGAGTGGAGGGTATTTGTCCCAGCAACGAGAAAAGAGTAACTGAGACACTGTCCTTATTTTTATCTGCCCATTTCCTGCACCCCCAAGCCCATGGATGACTGTGTTTTACAGATGTTTTAATATATTCTTCCAGAGTTTCTTTAGGTATCTATGTTGATTGTTACTTTTACAAGTGTTAGAAGGCTGTACATATATCTTGTTTTCTCTGGATGGGGAATCCCAACAGACAGGTACCCTTGGTTCTGCCTATCCTTCCACCTTGCAACTGTGGTGGGGGCAGCTGCCACACAGGTCACTGAGGCTCCTGGGTGACTGTAGGGGTGGACACAGGAACTTCCTCCTGCTTTACTTCCCAGAGCCCCATCTGGCACCCAAGAATAGCCTGTAGCACCTGAGGAAGCAGGGAGCCACGTCCAGTTGAGCTGGCCACTGCCTGGGCCCTGACACCGGCTCAGCCACCTTCCTGTGTGCCCTTCCTGTGGACCAGCAGCCAAGCCCCCTCATGTCTTCTCTCTTATAACGCAGGCCAGCAGTTCTTCAGGAGGACAGATTGTGCAGCCCCCACAGACACACCCACTCGGCAATGTCTCCAGATGTCTTCATTGACACAGCTTGGCACCAGGCCCGTGATCACTAGCATGAAAAGGGTGGAAGCCAAGGGGTCCCCCAAACAGCCCCCCAGGTGCAGGACAGTCCCCACAGCCAAGTATGTCTCCAAAATGACAGTGGCCCTGAGACTGAGAAACCTGGACCCGAAAAGAATGAGCAGTCCACGGTCTTTCTGCGTTAGCTGGTGGTATCTCGGAGCAGACCAGCAGCACAGGAGGGCTCCCCAGGATGTTCCTCCCTGGCAGACACCCCACCCCAGAAGGCGGGGCAGGAAGAACCGAGGAAGTGAGCAGGAGCCTTCTCCTCCCCTGGCCTTGGGACACCGCACTTCCTCACATTGTGTCTTGGCTCTAGAGCCAGAGCAGGTTTTCTGTGACTGTGGCTGTGAGCTGTCCCTGAGAACTGCTGCCTGTGTGAAGGTGACACTGGCTGTTTGTATTGTAGAATTTTAGGGTTCAGAACCTATGCAACAGTAAGTGGCCATCCTGCCGCCTCTCTTCTTCTTCATGTCACCTTCAGGCCCAGCCTCACGCCCCTGCTGAGTCTTTACACTTCACCAGGTGCTCAGTAAGAGGCAGATATTAAGCCAGGTGCTGTGAAGAGCAGACAGGCCAAGGAAAAAGATATTCAGATAAACTCTAATGTGTATAAGCAAACACAGAACCCAGCCTGTCCACAGAGGAGAGGATCTGGGCATGCTGCAGGAGGAAACAGCCTTTTGACTGGTTCTCAGCGAGCCCCTGGGCCTGGAAAGGGGCATTCAGCCCAAGCGGCTAAAGGGGCAGGGGCTCAGCGAGCCTGGCAAGGCTCTGAGGGCAGTAGTCCTATGAGGCAGATGGAAAAGCACATACCGCGGGCCATCAGGGTGTTGCAGCAGGGGTGACCTCTCTGGTAGAAAGATTAGGAAAAGGAACTGCGTCTCCAGGCCCCGTCCCCTGCCCCCTGCCCCCTGCCCCCTGCCCCCTCCCCTTAACATCTAGCCTACACCCCTGCACTCCATTTTCCAGCACATCGGTTCAGGGATGAGAGGAGGCTCTTCCTGTCCCAGAAGGTCTCCTTTGCCGATGAGTCCTGAAACTCAATTGTTATAGATTTGCCCTGGAATGCCTTTTGTCCTGTCCAGTTTCTTTGCTTAGATATAGATGTGCAGCTTTCACCCAGTGAAGTGTACTGCTTCGTCTCGAACATGTGCACACCTACGCACAGCACACGCACATGCACGCGTGTGTATGCATGCACCACGTGTGCGTGCCTGTATTCTGAATGGCTGCCCAACATGTTCCCACCTGCCAGCACTTCAGCTGAAGTTGTATTGCTGCTGTCAGTGCAAGAGACGTGTGGCATCAGCACTGCCCCCTTTAATGAACTCCACTGGGCATATGGGGGTCACAGGACACCTCCAAACAGTATGAAGCATGCCAGTGTGGTTTAGAAAGTGACAAGCGGCCAGGTCCAGGAAGAGAAGAGAGACAGGAAGTGCATCTGACCGTTTACCTGAGGACATGTAGCTGGTCCCTCCTCGCCCCAGTGGCCTTGCCCTCTCACTGTGAATGAGTTGGTCTGATGGTGACAGCTTGAGATTCTGAGAGTTCGTCAGAGCCTGCCATCCTAATCTCAGCTCGGTACCTTGCCAGCTGTGTGCCTGTGCCCGTTAGTTAACCTCTCTCTGCCTCAAGTGCCGCCCTTGTGCACCAGCACTAATGGGGTAAACAGGAAGTAAGTGAACCCCACTGCTTCAGCTAGAATGGTGGCCGGCACTCGCTGCACCTCAGCAAGCGACTGCGTTCCGAGTAGTAGGGCTCCTCACAGCGCACAAGCAGGCCTGGGAGGTGGCTGGCGCTGCTGCCGCACTGACTTCCACCTGCCACCTGTGGGTGACGGTGCTGTGTCCTCCTCCCGCAGTTCATGACCAAGAACCCGCACAAGCGTCTGGGCTGTGTGGCCGCGCAGAATGGTGAGGACGCCATCAAGCAGCACCCATTTTTCAAGGAGATCGACTGGGTGCTCCTGGAGCAGAAGAAGATCAAGCCGCCCTTCAAGCCGAGAATCGTAAGTCAGTCCCGAGCCCTCGCCCCTCGGTCAAGCCGGCCACTCGCTTCTCACTGTGTACGCCCCGGCAGCAGGGCCTGCTTCATGATGACAAAAGACAGAGTGGCCAAAGATGTCCCTGTGGCCGGTCTCTCAGGCCTAAGTGTTGACTGAAAACATGTAGCCTGTGGCAGTAGCCAGGATGACAGGTTATGTGGTCATGGAGAAGAACCTCTCCCTTCAGTCCACATTTACTTACTCCTGTGGATCACATAGCTCCAGATGATGCTGGCCTCCCAGTCCGGGGACACATAAGGTGTCCTTGTAGATTAATGGGGCTCTTCTTAAAGGAGCCATTTAAAGGAAAACGACTCTTTTTGTGGTCATGTGGCACTAGTCGGGGCATGAAGTCAAGGCTCTGACTGTCCAGGGGACACCTGTGGGAGCTCATCTTCCTGGGACCTTCCGCAGAGGCCCCTCTGCTCTCAGTCAGACACAGGCTTGTGGGATGCCTATCACCAGCAAGGGAAAAAGGGTGTCTGGAGCTCAGGGGTTGAGGAGGAACTTGTCTCAGAAAACAAAGACCACATCTTGGTAGTGGCCTTCTGCTGGCGCGCACAGGCCTGGCAGCGCACTTCTGGTGGGAAGAAGTAGGTGCAGGGGGTCTTAATTCTTAATTTTGTAGTGAGGATGCAGTGAGGCCATCGGCTGTCCAGGTGGAGAGTGTTGGAGGCCAGCTGGCCAGCTTGTGGAGCTGAGGTGGGGACTGTGACAAGGAGATCATGGGCCAGGAGCCCAGAGCTACGAGGCAGGGGCCCCAGGCAGGGAAGCCTCAGGACCACCCAGCCGACTCCCACTGACCTGCATTCTGGCCGAGCAGAGCCCTCTGTACTACCAAGTATGGAGAAGGTGCTCTGCGCATCTGCAGAGAAGAATCCCATTCTCCTCGAGGGGCCACCACCCGTAGTGCCGCTGTGCCTAGAAGTGCTCTGTGAGGTGACCCTCAGCTGATGGGCCATGAGCCTGGCACAGGCGCCAAGCCTGGGTTTTGATCCTGTCATCGTCCTTCATGTGTGTCCCCCTTTGGTTTGCATGGCTTTTGCAGGGGAGCACACAGCTTGGGACAGGCTAGAAGTAGATTCATCTTTCTCTGTTAACCTCTCCTGCACCCTGACCTAACCACACCCCGGGGCCCCTTGCCAAGCCCAGGAAAGTTCTGGGTGCCAGCTCCTCAGGCTGATGTCCCCCACTGCCACAGGCCTCCCTGCATGTGCCTTCCTGCCTGATAGCTGGGGCCTCCATGGGTGGTCATGAAGGACAAGACTAAATGGAGAAAGTCGTTCACCAGAGGCCTAGCAGAAAAGCAAGAAAAACTAAAGACTTAGATCTGAGGGTGAATTTACAGTAGATTTCGTCTAAGTTAATCAATGCCAAGAAACATGGAGAGTAGGCACAAGTAAAGAGCTGAGGCCCAAACGACAGAAACTCAGGAAGCCATCGGAAGCCAAGCAGATATCGGGGTCCACAAGATGCTGTGAACTTCCTCTAGAGTCTCGGTGAACACAAGCCCTTGAAGCAGGCCCAGGGAGCACTGGGTTTGGCTGAGCCAGATGGGGGTGGAGAAGCAGCCTCCCATCAGGTGTAGAGAGGTCTGGAAAGTGGGCGGCGAGGGCGTGAGGGGAGCTCAGGTGTGCTAGTCGGCAGAGAGGCCCTTGGAGGGAAGGACGGAGGAAAGCGCTCTGGCCGTAACATCCAAAGGCCATTTTAACATATGGATGTATAGACAAGCCTCTCCCTGAGTGTGGTAGACGCCAAGAGCTCGACTGTCAGAGGCCTCTACTGGATGATCTTATGCAGCCCTAGTGGAGCTGCACACTCTGGGGTTGAAGTCACATTGAGACACTTCAGTCCCTAAGCTCTTTCTGAGGCCCCAGCAGTTCTTCACAGGGACTTCCTGTCTTTCGAGTGAGACCTGCTCAGTAAGGGCACAGACCTCCAAGGAGTCACACCTGGCGCCCAGCCCCTCTTCGTGAGGGAAGTGGGGGAGGACTATGGGCGTGAGCTTTGGGCAGAGCTCACAACACAGGAGAGAGGCCTAAGTGCGGAGAGAACCCGGGGGAGGTGCACACCTCACCAGTGCAGGCTCACACAGCCTGGAGGCTGCTTCCTGCTGTCCTCCGCCCCTTGCAGTGGTGCTACTCGGCAGGAATCTGAAGAGCCCTGAACTAGCAGGAGGAAGTACTTCCATGGCTGAAAGTCCCAGAGCAAAGGCCCCTTCTGAGAGGGTGGCATAGAGAAAGGACCTGTCTCGTCCAGATGCCCCCAACACTCGGCTCCTAAAGATAGCCCTCGGCATCACCAGGGAGACCTTCTGCCCATGTACCTGTGGTGCCCCCAAGACCTTAACGTGATATCCTCAGGTTATCGTGGGGTGTGAGGGACTCCAAGGAGGGCATTATTAGGCTGGTGTGATTTCAGCCGGGAGGAGAGTCAGGCAGCAGAATGCATGGGGCATGGTGCTGGGGGGCGAGGGCAGGGCTTTCTGGTCATACTCGGCTGACCCACATGGGTTCCTACAGGGCACTCAGTTACAGGTCCTCGGAGCTGTGTTCATTTTCCTTGAATACCTGATCACATGTCTGTCCCCAGGATCTGAGCATTCTCTCAAGAGAAAACCCAAGTTAGAAAAGAAGGGTAGCTCGTAGCTGCCTTCCTATCAGAAGTATGCCCCTAAGTGGAATGCTCTTTCCTGAACCAAGAAGCCAGCTTTGCTCCTGTAGGCTAGAGTTTGGCAAAAACAGATGTGCAGTTGACTGAAGGTACTCAATGACTCAGAAAGCCCAGCAGGGCCAGTGTGAAAACTCACACCAAGTGCTTACAAGCCTCCCCTCAGCAAGTCGGGGGCCCAGGGCATGTGCCAGGCTCAGGTGGCAGCAGCAAGCACACTTGTGTGCTCCCTAAGCAGGGGCAGGATGCCACCCACTAGCAGTCACTGGGGAGACACTGGGGAGTGAGACAGGACCCCGCAGAAGTCATCCTTCTGCCCCTAGGGCGGGGCCTCCATGGAGCCTGGCTTTCCGAGGGCTGAGGTGTCATAGAACTTGAATCCACATCTGTTGCCTTCCTAGGAGAGCTGTGGAGGAAAGGGCTGTGACAGAGGGAACAAAGTAAGCTAGCTCAGAGCCCGGTCCTGGGATAGAGCGGCTAGGATGGTGTGAGGTCCTGGGATCCTGGGCCTCGGACAGAGTCCGCATCAGAGGGAAGGCAGCGCAGGAAGGGAACGATCAGCTGTCACAGACATCAGTAACCCCACAGGGAGAGGCAGTTGCAAGGAGACGGTGTCATGTGTGCAAAGGGGCCAGGAAGGCAGGTGCACCGACGTGCCTCATGTGGGACTACACCTCCACAGGGTGCCTGCCAGTCAAGGGCTGCAGCCTGGAGGCAGCTCCTGGGCCCTCACACCAGGATGCCGCCACCCCCAGAAACCTACTCAGTAGGTACCACCTGGCTTCTCTGCATCACCTGGTGGGGGGATATCCTGCCAGTCTGATTGAAGAAGGAATTTAACGGGTCTCTTGTTGGTGCTAGAGGCGAGGCCAGAATTTTCATAGCAGCCAGTCTCGGATATGAGAAAGGCCTAGTCACAGCAGAATGTTTGTCCAGAGCTCCGGGCCCTGCCCTCCCACCACACACATGCGCACTGCCTCTGCCCACGGGGCTGAATGTGCGTCAGGAGAACAGCTCCAGGCCTGCCTCCCACCCCTCTGCAGGAAGCTCCTGCCCCACTCAAGATAGGGAGGTTGTCCAGGTTTCTGGTCAGAATTTGGCCTTTGGCTGTGTTCCATCATATCTCAGCTCGCTGGGTCCCTCTGGGCTTTTGCCTTCCTGAGGAGTTTGCAAAGCTGAGATTTCTGTTTCCCTGGCGCACAGACCTCCCTCTGTGACCCCTTCCCTTATTTCCCCCTAGGTTTCCTGCATTCAGGTTTGCTCTTTGTCCTGACCTCACCCGGGACACCTCTCAGTGGCCTCTGCTTCAGCATGGAGAGGTCCCTCTCATTTGTCCTCCACATTCCAGGGTATATCTCTGCTGGCCGCCCTCTACCCACCCACACACCGAGCTGATTTTGTGCAAGTGATCTGCCATCCGTGCCTACCGAGGACGTTATGCCAACACGTACTCAAATCTGTGTTCTGAGGGCATCTGGCTTCAGAGCTGGGGTGCACAGAGGGGGCCGTTGGATGGCGGCACCCACCGGTGGGGGGCAGGTGAGCAGGACAGCCGACCTGGCTGGTGCCGAAGCCTTTGTTCCAGAACAAAATGCCCACCCAGAGTCTCCTGGAATGTCCACGGGGGATTTTCTTGCAGGACGGTGATGTTAGCTAATCACCAGTGGAAGCAGCACACGTGGCTCTGGTGCTGCCGGTGGGCTCACCTTCTTTGGGGATGATAAGGACAGAGTGACGTGTTTGGGTGAAGGGATCATCTGACCTTACAGATCTCGGGGACATTCTGCTTGCTCCTGGCTTTCCTCTTGGCCCCCATTCCTTGCCCCCCAAGTGTAGACCGTGAGACATGGCTCCCAGGGCCTCCCCGCCGACATGGGGGTCGCCAGTGTAGGAGGGAGAGCTCCGCCTCCCCAGAGACCAAGCCGCCCTCAGTGAGCACCACAAGCAATGAGGGAAATGCTGGCCGAGTAAACTTCTCTTGTGTACGTGTTCTCTCTTTTCAAGTTTGCTTCAGTGTGAATGTCCCTCTTTAAGGTAAGGCCTCCAGAGTGGGGAGTCTCTCCAGGTAGGTGAGCCCACAGGCCCGGTGACACAGAAGCCCCTTTCAACCTCATGATCGTCTCCATCCAGCCATCCATGCTGCATGGCAGGACCCTGAGGGAGGCCCCTCCTGCATGCTCCTGCATGACTGGGCTGTGCTGAGAGAAAACCTGGGAAGTGGGCTCGTGACCCTCACACCCTCACTGACCGAGAGGCCCGAGGAAGAGCCCAGCTGAGTCGGCAGCCCCTTCCCC